AGAAAAAGCAGTGGGCTGGGTTCATTTTGTTCCTTAAGCAAACTGTGAATGAGTGGCACCTGATCAAACAGCAGCAAAAAATGGATGGAAAGGAAGAGAAGCAACTAGCTCACAGCTATAGTTGCTTTGTTTGTTTGTTGTTTTTGAGACAGGGTTTCACGACATCCAAGCTGTTCTTGAACTCACCATATAACCCAGGCTGGCCTCGAACTTGAAATCCACTTATCTCAGTTTGGGATTACAATCACATCCCACCATGCACAGTTGCTTCAAAACAGAATTTTTTTGTATAAAAAAAGTGCCCCATTCCTGAAGCTAGCCAGAAGTGGCCTGGATACTCTGCAGAGGATTCAAATATACAGGAGGCATTGTACAGAGCACCTCTTCAGATCTAAGATCCTATGATTCTACTTTCCATTCTCACCAGTTATAGATGTACTACTTGGAAAAACAAAACCAAAACAAAATAAAAAATAATGGTCCAAAGTCCTGAATGTATAAATCAAATACCTTATAAATAAGGTTCCTTGGAATAACTAACCAAAGTAGATTTTCAAATGCTCACTTTCAAGCCATTAACTGACCAAACTTAGAGGAGGAAGAAAGAATCAAGGCACTTCAAGACAGTGCTCAAGGAACCATTGCCAAATATGAAGTCCAACTGTAAATGGAGACCTGCTGTCAGAAATAAGGAAGCCAGGACTCAATTCACCCACAGTGTTTCGCAAATGCATGTATTCTCTTGAGATAAATTATTAAAATAGATTGGTTTCATAAACGTCACAGCATTCAGAAGCTTCATGGCCTGACATTAAAGCACAAGGCTTCCTCCTCTCCATCCCTCAGGTAGGATCAGTGCCTGAGTCAACACTTTGACACTTTCAGAGAAAGACAGATGAAGGTTACCTTAGAATCCATGGCGAGAAAAACAAGCACCATTGAGCTGGTAATAACCCAGGATGTCATCCATTCCTTTTCAAAGCCCGTGTATTTTAACCAGTTTTCTGTTTTATAAATATTACCATGGCTCAACACATCTATGAGGAGACACATTACCCACGGCTCTCATCCTGTTTGCTAACTAATTATATCAACAACCTGAACCAACTTAACACTGTACAAAAACACAGCTGACTTAGCAATCTGTAAATTATACATGTACACAAATCTGTACCAAAATGTGCTGCGCTTCACTCCTGTTAACGTGTATAGATTCTTCCTGGCACCTACAACTATTTGATACAGGTTCCTGCACACGAAAGCACATGTTCTGCCCAGAATGGGACCATGTAGAGTAATATTTATGACATTTTCTGGCACTAAGTTCTGCCAGCCGTCCTAAGACAGATCTCCTGTTTACTTCATTGAGCAATCTGACAACAAGTGCCTATAGATGTAAGCAACCATCCAAAAATATTCTGAACAACACTTTCCAAACATGACTATAAGGAGAAACGGACTAGCTTTGCTTGTGTGGCAACAAAGCCAACAGGATTTTAAACCATCACTGATAGGATCATAAGAAAAACCATTTTGCGTGCTTCCTACTTACAACAATCAAAAAGAACAAACTAGATAATCACTGAATCTTTCCTTCAAATGGTATTCAAACTGTATCAAAGAAAGTTAAACAGATTTTGGCACCAGCAAAACCAGTAAGCATCTGAAGAATGTTTATCAACTACAATGACAGGCCTACATGACAGTTGCAGCCAGTCAACCCTAGCAAACAGGATTCATCAGGGAGTGACTTACTACGAGGAAGGTGGGGTTCTTATTTTTCGCTGTATCCCCACCACTCACTGAGTATGTTCAGTAAGTAAAACAGTAACAACTGCTGGCTTGTCCCTAATCCAGTTTTACCTACCTTTCTCTAACTCTGCCTCTTACTAACTGTAGGTGAGTCACTTAACTTTAGGATTCTTAGTTCTTTAAACTCTAAAACAGACACCGCTCCTCCTTTGCTGGCCTTGAGGATTAAAGGTGGCAGTCCACGGAAAGTGACCCAGGACCTCAAGGGGAACACACATGTGAACAGTCCCTTCTCCACCACTGTCTTCTGCTAGACCACTGACAAAGTGAAAAGACTGACCTCTCTTGAAACGTGATTGGCCTCTCCTTTGCCCTGTTACTCTGAATATGGTAGTGTGGCTGTTGGCCAAAATGGATGTTGTTCTTGTTGTTATAACATTTTGCTTAGTCTCCACTGGGAAATGATGCTTCCTCAGAGAAAATAATGGTAATACAAGGAACGCTGCTGAATGGTGTGCTACAAAGAACAAGACCCTGGGGTTGTATTTGTTCTGCCCTTAAGTATTTAATGGAAGTCACTTGAATCAATTTCTTTATATAATGACGGGGAAGGAGGGACAGACTAGATAGTATCTAAAGACCATCTCATCCTACAACTCTATGATATTCCAGACACCAGATATTCAAATCACCCAAAATAAGACCGGTTCTATTATTCGTTAGCATAGAGTAGTTTTTTAAAGGATAGCAAAACTGTTCCATGGACCAAGTCACTAGGGCAAGAGAAGCCGCAAAGCTGCTAGAAGGATGCGTGATATCCTCAGAAAACACCAGCCTCAGGCTGTCTGTTCTGCCATTCTCAGTAAGTCACACAGTACTCCTAGGACTCAGGTTTTTTATCTGTAAAAGAGGAACCATAATACCAGATAGGGCCATTGGGATAAAATACCTAATACAATGATCATGAAGTATTGCTATTTAAAGGTAAAATGCAACTTAAATGCTGTAATCTCCAAAAATAGGTTGGTGGATTTTAGGAGGAGACAATCAATATTTTCAAATGGACTTTTTCCATCACAGTAAAATAATATAATGCATGCAGATATTGTGATATTTCTAAGAGTTCGCTTTTTTTCTCCATTCATGTTCACAGAATGTTATGAAAGGGATTACTGAAAATAAAAATCCCACATTTCAAGATCAGCACTTTTTCACCTGAAATAATAATTTTTAAAGTTCACCCAAGTTGCCCACCATGTTTTGTTTTGCTGCTGATTGGTTAATTGAAATCAAGCTGCTGGAACTGGTGCCGAGATGAAAATTCCAGGGCTAAGACTATTCCCAGCCACTTACTCTGTGGACACGCTATGCTCGCTTGGGGGAAGTGGCTCCAGGATCACCGAAAGGAGGAGGTGTCTGCCCTCTGAGAGCCCGGAGGTCGAGGTCCTCCCACAAACCCCGGAAGCCCCAGGTCTGCGCAGTGGGTTCCCGTGCTCCTCCACTCACAAACCCGTACAGCACACGTGAGGCACAGAGCTTCCCCCCAACTTGGGGGGCCCTGCCTCTCCACCAGAAGATGGAACCGCATTGACACCTGTGCGAAAGTTACGTCACTGACAGTGGGGTCCCCGAATCGCACCAGGCCAGCGACAACAGCAAAAGCACACGGTAAGTCTGAAATACTGAGTTTCTATCAAATCTGCTTTCTTTAGGGTGGCAGAGTTAACGCTGGCTGTTCCTTTAGTAATTCTGGGCCCTTGCTGTAAAAGCCACCTCAGTAGGTTTGAATACGGAAGACCTTGAAGAGAAAGGTAGCTGGTCAGAAACCCTCTCTGACACTCTCATCTTTAAGAAACACACAATTTTTTAGATGATCATTTCCAAGAAAGCACATAACACATGATTTGCTATCCAGGTTGATATCTTTTTTCTTATAAGATAAACTTCAATCACTTTTTAATTAGAGTATTTATTAGGAGCACAAGTTATATTTCATGCCCTTCTCCTGAATTCCTAACTAAATCCAAATGGAAACTCATTGTTTAAAACACCAGCTCCTGAAGGCTTGGAAACTGAAGTCTTTACACATTATTAAAGCCCATTTCCTGAGTTCGCTCCGGGCTGTCTTGGAAGATGACTGTCACCTGTCTCCGGAAAGAGAGGGATCCAGCTCCTGCCAAGCGCATCTCTGGCTGAGCTCCCTTTCCGTGGGCCGCTGATGCACAGGCGTAGCTGAGCTTCGGAAGCCAGGACGGCTCTGCCTGCGATGCTTCAGCCCTGGTCGCCGCATGGTCCAGAGATGCTTGAAATCCTCCCCTTCCTTTCCTGCTCCTAGGACTCGGCCCCTGAGGGCTGCGCCCCATCTTCACCGCGGGGAGAGGGTGCTGGGCAGTGGATGGACCTCCGCCGGGGCTTCCTGACACGCGGTCGTGGGCGTAGATCTGCACCTGTCACCCCTTGGCCTCGCTGTCCCTCCACCTCCCCGGCCCTGGGTCGACCTGGAAGGGGCGGTGGGCGGAGGTGTGAGCGAAGCGACGCCCCTCCGGGGTCCGGGTTCGGGGTCCCCGCGACTCCCAGCAGCGAGCGGGGACAGTGGAGGCGCCGCGTCCCGCACCGAGCACTTTCCCGGGACTTCGCGGCCCCGGCGTAACGCTGCGGGGCTCCCCGCTCTCGGGCAGCGGCGCCCGGCGAGCAGCCTCGGCCGGCGCTGCTGCCTCCGCGGGCACCCAGCGGCGGGCGGCGCCTGCGAGAAAAGCAGGGGCGGAAAAATGAGAATGAGACGCCCGGCGCAGCCGGTCCGGGCGCCCTTACCGTTGGACCGCCGGACGATGTTCTCCAGGAACGTGTTCTGCGGGGCCACCAGTCCCCGCCGGCCCCCGGCCATGGTCATCCCCGCCGCTCCTCACCGCGGCAGGCAGCTGGGCGCGGGCCCGCGCGCGATCCCGGTTCGCAGCGCCCCATGCGCCCCGCGCCCTCCTCCCGCCGCCCGCGATCCGGTCGTGCGGTTCGGCCCGGCCGCCGCCTCCGGTGGGCGGGGAGACCCGAGGGGCCGTGGCGCCCCCTACCGGGCGCGGGCGGGCGGACGGGCGAGGCAGCGGCCCCTCTGGGCGCCCCGGGAACTGCGTGGGCGCGGAGCGGAGGGCCCGGGCTCGGGAGAGGTCTCCCCACACTCCCGCTGCGCCCGCTGGGCTGCCCTGGCGGGGCTGCGATTTCGCCAGGCTGCGGGCGGGCGGGCGGGCTGCAGAGCGAGACAGGCGGCCGCGGGCGAGGCGGGCCTTCGCCGGAAAGACGCGCGCCCAGGCGATTGAGCCGAAGCGCCGCCCCCAGGTCAGCAGGCAGCCGGGGTCAGACGCCTGCCTGAGCTGCGGGGGCCAAGCGCTGGCTCCGGGGCGGCCCTGGCGGACTCGGACCGGGACGGAGCCTGCCTGCTCCGCGGGAGGTGACCGCCCTGACACCCCATCTCCCATCGCGGTTTCTGGGCCTCAGAGGCGGGACAGGCGTCCCTTCCCAGCAGCTCTCAGTCGCCGTGCAAAGCTCAGCGGAAGGCGCGCTAGATTTGAAGCCCGACATCGCCGGCGTGACTGGCAAACTGGGCCGTCACCGTACAGCGTCGCCCTCGGCCACTCGTGTGGCATCGGGTGAGCAGATGGCTTGTGCGGGAGAGGGCAGGGGCTGGCACAGGCTTCCAAAAGCGGGGCGGCTTCTCTCCCGCGCGGGGCGACCCTGCCCGCCCCAGCTGCAGGCTCGGAGGCGACTCCTGAAACGCTAGCTCCGCCTAGTGGCCCTTCCTGCGCTCACAGGTGAACAGGCGACACCCGCAGAAGAGGACTGCACTCCGAAGGGTTCTTGACTGAGAGGAGTGAGCCAGGGCGCGTCTCCCCACTTCATTTGGATAAAACTCTTAGGGCTGTGTTGTCTCTTGCAGAAGCGCACCCAGGGGAGATCTTTCACGGCAACATTAAAAACTCATCAAGCAACCTCATTATCCTGCTTATGAAAGGAAGATGTTTGAAGAATGGGGAGAAGTTATCCTAAAAAGTTAATAAAATTCTCAGATTTGAATGAGCTCTCATGTTCCGTGGCTTAGATAAAGAGGAAACAGATGCTACCTGCTTGAGGCGAGGTGTGAACGTCTGGTAGGCTACCCGGTAAGCAAAAGGGACCAGGAAATGCCTTCTGCTTTTGTGTGCTGTGACTGGCTCTCAACACAAGCTCCATACGCGGTGAATTCTGTAGTTTTCGGTGGCACACTTGAAGAGAATAAAAGACCTAAAATGACACTGAAAAAGCAGCTGTCTTTACTCCTAGTATGACATGTTTCGGGGTCTGGGGAGGCACATACATCTGATCCCCCATTCCTCAGCTGGCCCTCAACACATCTGACCACGGGAACCAAACCACAGGCTTCCCTGTCCACATTCTTGGGGAAGGTAAGGCTAAAGCTGCCTAAGTTCCAGAAGCTCCGTCCTTGGTGGTACTGCTGCTTATGGTCCTCTTCTCTGCCTCCTCTGCATCGGTGTCGGCACCTGCTCCTCTTGGACTTTTGCTGTCAGAGCAGACCTTCGTCTTACAAATTCGCCAACATTTGGCAACACAATTGTACAGGCTTCACAGTGTGCCCTGGTAAACCAGTCCAGAGCCCCTGTGTTTTACAGTAACAGACAAGATCCTTTTCATCTCAAGGGACAACCACAAAAACTCACGGGAGTGCCAGCTGAACTGCTTCCGACCCTCCCTGTGTAGGTCTTACTGAGAAAGGGAGGCTGAGAGGAAGGCTCAGTGTCTTGGGGCGGCCCCCTGGTGGGCCGCCTCTGTATTCTGTTCACCCCCAGTTAACACACATTGACATCCATGTCGCACAGTACAGCGAGCGCCTTACAACCTGAGCAGACCAACCTGAGCACGAACATGAACACGGTGAAGCGTGCTGTATGAGTGAGATCACCAAAGACACGGGTGCACACAGCGCTGCACAGAGAAGATGGAGCTGGGGGCTGCAGATGGGCCAGGTAAACCCCGGACAGACAGCTCTCTGCACAGCAGCAACAGTGAAAGTCTCCCAGGGACGAGGAAGCTGAGGGCACGCAGCAGAGGGCAAGCGGTGTGCTGCCAAGACAGGAACTGGGTGTTCTTCATCGAGACCATGAGGCCTGGGGAAAGACTTCAGGAAGCCAAGCTCCTCTCAGAGCAGGAGAACTGCCCACGAGCCCTGTGGGGCCGAGGAGCAGAAAGGGCAGCTCAGAGCTCTGGGGTCATTGGACCCAGTGGTGATTTTACTACCTGGCCACCAGGAGTGAATAGCTAATGGAGAAATTCACAGCGTGAAAAATTTCAGTTTCCCTAACTCAATGACTTTTTATTTATTATGTATATTTTTATTAACAAAATTGTTTTGCATTAAAGTCGCTCTCACTACTCCAAGTCCTGGGAAAAAAGACTTTTTTTCAGTGGGAATTCTAGCCCATGAATTTAATGATGGATATATATATATATATATATATATATATATATATATATATTAATTACACCCAGCTGTGGCTAGCACAATAGACATTTCAGGTGTCCATAAAAGTGAATTCTGACCTTCCAAGTGCCCAAAGCAGTTATCCTTCTTTCTCATTTCCTCTTATCAAAACAGAAAAGGGATTTTTGCCATACTCTCTCCAGTAGAAAAAAATTAAAAGTCATTTACAAGAGTTTCAGTTTTCTGCAACAAACACTTACATGTAGTCTAGCACACAGCAGACACTAGGATAGGCTCTAAGGATGAAAAGATGGCACCTACTCTCAAGAAACTCAACAAACATTTAATGAATGCTTATGCTCTTTGTGGTTTCTCTTTTCCTTCAGCTACTTTCCTCTTTCTGTTATGCTTTCTAAATTGTGCTTTCTTTGTAAATAAACTACAATTGAACTTGGTCTCTTCACTGAAGAAGATTTTCTTGCCCTAGCTGAGACATTGCTTCTGGAGTCCTGCAGGTTCCAGATCTTCAGAAGATACTTGTTCTGCCATGGCTCATGTATCTAGAAGGCAGAAACTAAGGTGAGACTTCATCTGGTTCCTCATGCCCAAACCTCTAGTCATCTCCATTCATTTAAAATTTCTTCTATTTTGAAGGTCATGACCAATAATATCACTCTAGAACTCACATCTTAAAACAGATTGGGAAAAATTGTATTCAATTTTTAAAAGGCTGAGGAGCCTATAGGATGTTGTAGAGAAATATTAAAGGGGCACTTGGATAGACAGGTATACAGCTCATGTGGAGACTGAGACTGGAAATCATCAGCTTATGGCTTTCAAAAGATACTGAAAGAGTAATTCAGAAGCGCAGAGAACTGGGAGAAATGGTTTTGGAGAAGTGTAAGGGGAGAAGTGTAAAGGTCTGTGTCACAGGCTGTACACTATAAATACAAACACTGGAAAATGCCCATTGGATCTGATGACTATTTTGGCCAGCTAAGAATGTAATAGAAACGTTTTCAATGGAAGTTGGGGAAAGTCAAATTTTAAAGGTTTAAAGTCTAAGCAAAGACATACAAATAAGATGCAGATAGAGCTAAGGTGCAGTTATGCGTGCCTTTCTACCCCTAATACAGAAATGTGAGGTAAAATATTTTAAAATCTGTTGTTAATATATTTCCAAGCTCAAAAGCAAAAAGGGAAATTTTTAGAGGTCAAAAATAAGAAATTCATAGGTTTTAGTGAGAGTCAGTGGTTTGGTGGGAGAGGACAGAAAGGACCTCAAAACAAATCTATCCAGGCATGTCTATATGTATTCCCTAAATACCAAAAATGCATAGAATGGGGAAGAAGCAATATTTAAAGGGATGATATGATAGACTTTTCAGGAATTAAAGAAGCTTTCAAATTGAAAAGGCAGGATAAGTGAAAACCGATATAGCCATAATTTAAATAAATAGCTGAATTGCAGTGGAATGAAGGGAAATTCTTCAGGACCAAAAGCAAAGGTAGAACTAAAAATGCAAAGAATGAGCACAGAGATCTGACACAGTGGCTGCTCAACCCAGCTGGGGAGGAGAGGATGGGAACCAGACCAACACAACATTGAGAAAAGTTCTCTTGTCATGATGACTTTTATTCCGTGAACAATCTAGTATAACACAAGTTTAAGTGAGCGAGTGATATGGCTTGTACTGTATAAAAAGAACTCTGATAGCAATGGGACAACTGGGCGTACAAGACAGAGAGAGGCAGGTAAAGAAGACAATGTCTATGCTGAAGCAATGATTGGGAAAATAGAGAAGAATGAGTAGAAAAAAGAGGCCTGCATGGATTCCAGCAAGTGGGCCCTCTCCCGAAGGCGCCTGTCCCCAAAGCAGACAACCCAGCCCACAACAGAGGAGTGGCGCCCCTGCAGGCACAGAGCAGCAGAGGTGAGAACTAACCTGATCCCAGACGAGGACGATGCTCAGGGAGAAAAGGGAGCAACCAGACCCCAAAACTGCTGACATTAGGTCTAACGGTCCACCTGAACCATCGCTGAGTGCCTGAGTGGCCTACATCCAACAGATACTGGAGGGCTGATTGTCTTTCCCATCTACCAATGGGAGCAGGGACAGACTTTGGCTAGGACAGTAACCACAGTCTGGGGTGAACAGACAGAGGGGCCTCTGGTGCAGGGAGGGCACCTTCAAGACCATCGGCCCTAACGTTAGGCAGAGAAAATTGTGACTAGATGGTTCTCAAGACTGCAGATCTTGGAAAGAAACCACTCATTCTAAAACACACAAAATCCTTTTTTGTTTTTACTATTTTTTATTACTTTTAGCCTTCCTTCATCACGTTTTTGGGGGGTTGTGGGGTTTTTTCTTCCCTTTTATTTCTTTTCTTCTTTTAGTTTCTTTTATCTTTTTCTCTTTTAAGTTTCCTTCTTCTTTCTTACCTTCATTTCATTTCCTATATTTTGCTCTGTGTATCTTATTTCTTCTTTTCCCTTTTCACTTTTTCCCATGACTGTTCTCTAATGTCTTACCACCACCCTTCACTTTTCCCTCTCCCTTATCATAGCCTATTGATTAATTTCTCAAACTTTGCTTTTTTTCATTCTCTGGCACCCTACCCCCTCTACCTTTTCTAGGATAACTGCAAAGTTTTATAAATTTCTGGATAGGTAGTTAGCTTTACACTGTTGATGTTCTGTGGTTGGTAAAGTCATTCCATTTGGTAGATATTTACTGTAGGTCGATACTGGATTTTCTTCCTATTCTTACTATCATTATAAATGGGTTTTTTTCTCTGGTTAACATTCACAGGATAATTGATGCTGCTTTTATTATCATAACCAAGGTGGCATAGCTGTTGCTATTAATTGTTTTGGGAGGAGGATGCCAATATCTGGATTGCCTTGGGGTTATTAATAATACTGTACCCATAACAGGAGAACTGCATAAAATATGCTGTAACCTCCCATCCCAGGTAAATGAAAGTGGTTAGATACTAGGACAGATAGTTAGCCACACCCAGAGGAAACCAATGAAAACTAGACATAAACTGAAGAGGCCTCATACTAGAAACAAAGCTTTCTACTATAATCAGGCTTCAACACAAAAACACAATGATAGTTCCATGTCACGAAAATGACATTTTTGAGGCAGCAAGAAATATCTTTAGTGATCACAAAAATCAGGGTTGACATTCATTGCCCTACTGTAGACCATCTCAGATAACTCCTACAGTATTTCAAAACCTCATTGCCACCCAGTGATGAGTGTTGGATCTTGAATGTTCCCCCAAAAGGTCCATGTGTGGAAGGTTTGGTCCCCAGCGGAACTGTCGGGAAGGGTGGGAAGCATTAGGAGGTGGAGCTGAGTGGGCGGTCTTTAGACCATGAGAGGGTGCCTTTGAAAGGGATTGGGGGGTGCCAGCCCCTCCACTCTCTCATTTGCTTCCTGGCAAGGAGGTGGGGAGCTCGCTCTACCTCACGCTCCCCACCATGGCTATTTGGCACACCAGGAAAAGGCCCTTTGGCTCTCCCAGTCTTGAACTGTAACCTCTAAAACTGTAAGCCAAAATAAGCTTATTTTTTTATAAGTTAATTATCTCGGGTATTTCAGTATAGTGACAGAAAACTGTCACCACCTCCCATGTCCGCCAAGGATTGTCACTGAATCTGAGGTACATAAAGCCATCTTCAAACCTGGCACTGTGGCTCTATGCCAGAACAGGTCCTGGATAGACCAGCAAGTGAGGAAAGAGACAAAGTTGCTTCATGTGAGCTATAAGAAACTGGGGGTTCAATGTGATTTTAATAGTGGTGGCAAATGCTACATCCACATTTCATTGTGTGGCCCGCTGCAGAAGGGTGTGGTCAGCCTTCCCGTGTGGAATTTATTCCCTAAGGGATTAAAAGAGGACTGGGAGGAGTGCTTTGGACTAGAGGGCAGGAATTGACTTGATTAAACAGAGACAGGGACTGCACTCCCCGACTCTCCTACCACGGTTTAAAATTAGCTATGACTGCAACTTCTGTAAAGCAAAAGTAGTCTTCACTTTTAATGGTTACTGCCTTATAAAGCCAAATACCTGAATGATACGGGATGATATGTGTATCTCACAAAATCAACCCATCTGTAAAATGGGAATAATTCATTCTGTTCTTCACTTGTTCGCAATGAAGAGCCGTTAAGTATATTAATAAATGTAAAGCAACAAGAGCAAGGCCCGGCACACTACCATTGCACATTTATTTGTTTTCAGTCATACACTTTATGCCATGTAATTTCCTTGGACTGTTCCAAAACTAGTATATCCAACCAAACTGCCTGAAATTCAGAGACTGTGGAAAGGAGAAAAAACAAATTCTAGGCAGCAAAAGTCCTCTCCTCCCCTCGTTCGTCTCCCAGGAAATTAGAGCAAAGATCTCCCAGAAAAAGATGTGGCAGAGACATCGAGGCTGTCTATGGCAGACAATCCATGTAGAGCCAGACACAGCCACCCAGCCTGGCTCCCTACCCACTACCTTGCCTACCTCAAGCTCTGCCTTCCTCCCCATCTTTCTCCCCTTTCTCTTCCTCCTCCTCCCACAGCAGGGATTCTGAATCCTCCATGGCTTTGTTGGAACCATTTTTTATATCCCAAGTCACACAAATGGTACCCAATTGTACCCAGAGAATCCAGGATAGAAGCGTAAGAGGATTTCTCTTCCCTCTGCCTCACTCTGAGCAAGGTTCAGAACTGAATAATTACTGCTCTTTGCGCTTTTAAATTACCAAGAAATCACTATGAACCTGTTTAAATATTCTTGCCTTGGTTATACTTGGTTAACAAGTTCTCATTATCACAAGATTTCTCTCTTCATCAACCTAGGGTCTGTTTCCCTCTGCTCTTCACCTACCACTTTGTTTATTCAAAGTGGCCATTCTTTCCGGAAAACATCATGTCCTCATTGACAGGCCTCTCTGTGGCTGCCTAACAAGTCACTTAGTATATTATCTTTTGGTAAGAACTGCATAGAATGAATTAGCATGGAATTCAATTCAATTTACCCATATAAAGAAGCAATTGACTCTTACAACACAGTTCTAAAAGTATTGTTATAAATCAAAGATGGAAGAAAATGAATAGGAACACAAAGAAATCAGAGCATAGATGCTCTCCAAGTAGCTCCTCTTTGGAAAGGCAACTACAGAAATAACAAAAATAAATGCCAGGAGGACACCTCGGCACGCCCACCGACAAGCAGCTCAGACACAGGGGCTGAGAGGTCCCTGGCCGTCTGGAGCCTCCCTCCGTCTGGCTCACCATGCCCACCTGCAACCAGTGAGATGGCTCCTTGATGAAGACTGAAGCCCACTGGAAAAGTGAAGAGAATCTCTGCAATAAGGCACACCAGACCACGTGCTTGGTCAGTTGGAGGGATCGTCACCTCCCATCGGAACCTGGACTATCTTCAGGG